AACAGGGCATCTTCCGGCAGACTGCTTATCGGAATTCCCGCAGTAGGCGTGCACGCTTTGTGTTGCACCTAGTGGAGTGCAGGGTGAGACGCCGGGAAGGAGCCCCAATGCCACACCCCGACGCCGTGTACACGGCCCTCGCCCGGGGCAGGGCAAGGCATAACCCGCGCAGGGTTTCCCTCTTCCGCCCTCAAAAACAACGAAATCGCTGCCAAGCGGAGCAGGCGTTGGCTCGCTGCCCGATGCGGGCAAACGGTGTGGGCACTGCTCATGCCCCGGCTGCTCTGTAACATGACACCCAAAAGGGTGGGAAAGCGTTCCATAGTGACCGGGGCGCCCCCCCCCCCTGTACCAACGAGGGAGCGCTTCGTCAGAGCCAACGTTGACCTCCACGAAGTGCTTGTTGGCCCACTCTGCCGCGACATTCAGGCCTTTCCTGCGGAGCCGAGTGGAGGACACACCGATCGCTGTGGCGCGTGGTGGGGGCGCTGCCATTGGCGAAGAAGCCATGACGGACAAAAGGCGTTGCAGCAAGATGGGCACTGTGAGTAAGCCCGCGGCGTTGATGAACAGGAAGAGGCCCCAACACTGCTCCCAGCGGAACTCTTCGCGTGAACGTCGCGGGGGAGGAGGTGGTTCAGCCGATGCCACGCTCGGCACGCCTGCTACTTGAAGAATGCCACCCACCAGTTTACAGTGTGGCCAGCAACCGACATTCGCCGCATATGTAGGAGGATTTTGTCGTGGTGCACTGCGCCGGCGGATTTGGCGTAGTCAAAAGCGACGGACTCCGTAGGCTCCTGCGGGGTGTTCGGCCGGAAATCAGATCGCCGCAGGAAGCTACTTGGGACGCCATGGCGTCGCAGGCGCCAGCGGCAATAATGCGTTCCACCAGCTTATTAAGGCAGCTGGCCGGCGCGGCAGACCGATGGAGCGCTGAGTCGGGAGCAGTTTTCCCCGAGTCAAGGAGGGCATGGTGACTCTACGGTGCCAGCTCTGTGGGACTGTCCCCGTACAAGGCCTCCTGTTGGGGTGGCGGGGGGCGCAAATCCCCGGGCGCCTCCTCGCTTCCACCGCATACGCCCCCCACGAGGTTGTTCTGCTTTATGGAGCGTGGCGAGCGCGGTGCCACCTGTCCTTAAGGCGTTGCACTCTCAGGGCGAGAGGGGCGTGCAGGCGGCGCACCGCGAGCTAGCGGCTTTTGGCCGCGACACCGTCTAACTCCGTCAGCTCGGGGTCCAAAAAACGACGGCTTCCGGCGACTGTCTGCCGGGACTGCCACCTTGGCGGCCCCCTGTCTGCTCGGCGTAATTCGTTGTTATGCGCCGCCCACGTTGCCCCCA